GAACGATGATGTCTCGGTCTGGAATCCGCAGCTGGCATCGGAGGTGCTGGCCCCACCCGATGGATTCTGTCTATTTCGTAGTAATCTCCCATCTCAATGTCCAGAGCCTCAGACACAGATTCTTCACGCAGTCCTCAAGATTACGGCCTTCGGTTCCTTCTCTAATACCCAATATTCTAATATTCTGGCACCGTGAGAAACCCTCGAGCGCTGTTACTTTTTCCTGCAGCCGCTGGTTCTGTATCTTCAAGTTCTTACTTATTGAGCTAGCTTTAGCCTCTTCGTCCTCCAAATGAGAAATTCTTGTCTCTGTTTCCTCCACACTCGCACCTGTGTGCAACTCCAACCTATGCTGCCATCTTGGGCAGCATACCACGTGACTCCGTGGAGAAATTCCGGTTCTTTTGTATTCTTAACAGCCAAAAAGACACGGCTCAAAAGTGGTCTTTTTACTTTAAAAAATGATCTTTATTTAACATATCCTGGATATGGAGCCCCACACGAACACACAAGCTCAGGTCTCAAGCACAAACGGAAGCCTAGGTATTTATATACTTGCTCCCTAGTGTGCATCAAACAGCCTAGTTGGTTTCACGCTCTGCAAAAGCATGCAGTTTCCTGTCAGCACTTTTTGGCACAGAGTGTACTCAGAATTAGGCCTTTCTTATATAAAGCAATATAATCAGCATATAAACATTTAAGATGATAAATTTAAACCTCAACACCTGCAACCAGTCATGGTAGATGGTCTTCCTAATTTAATCTGGAGTATTTTACTGTTCTTCCTTCCCATTATCACCAGCGCTGCTTACAGTGGATTTTCTGATGGTCGGGCTTTCTTGCCAATATTGTAGGGTTTTAACCTTATGTAGTTAAACAACTTGAGATGACTATTGAGAGTTTACTAGAGTTTATTGATGATGTGACACAGGACAGAAGCAGCTGAATTAATTCTGAGGTGTTCAGAGACATACTGTTTGCTCAGATCCAGCTAAATGCAGTTAAACTGATTTGGGCAGTGTTTCATAATACAGCTGGACAATGACCCAAAACATACAGTTAAAGCAACCCAGGAGTTTATTAAAGGAGAGGAGTGGAATATTCTTGAATGGCCAAGTCACTTGCTTGATCCTAACCCAGTTGAGCATGTGTTTCACTTGTTGAGGACTAAACCAGACATAAGTATTTGAAATAAATATGGATTAATTTGAACTGTATCTACCAACATTATTTAAAGATGAGTGACCAGCAGTCCTATGTACCTGTGTCAGCACTAAGATAGTGTAACTAAATGTACCAGCTCTTTATCCATTTCAATGAAGAGGTATTAGTGTGACTGTACTGAGCAATTTAAAAATTTAACATTTTGGTCTTAGCTTAAATGTTATGTCAATTATGAATTGTTTTGCAAATTGACATTTGTTCACTTTAGCTTGGAATTTTTTTTTTTTTTTTTTCAGACTGACTGGCTGTTTCCTCTCGGAGAAAAGCGGTGAAGCAATCTCCTCAGTTCTCAGCTCCCAGTACTGTAAACTGAGAGAGCTGGACTTAAGTAACAACAACCTGCAAGATTTAGGAGTGAAGCTTCCAAATTGTAAACTGGAAATTCTGAGGTCAGATCAAGGACTATTTATTTTTCATCAAATAACATAACCGACCATGTAAAACCTTTTATTATTAGAGGGCAACTTCATGCATTTCAACAAGGACGGATCATTAGAAAGAATGAATATGAGTTATTGATGAACAGAATATAGATTGGTGTTTGGTGGTTAGAGTCCGATTGCCTGTCTCAGCTGAATGGAACCCCAGCTGTGAAAGGGATTAGAGCAGGACCCCTTGCAGCCTAAACGCTGGTGGTGGCTTGAATCAAGCTTGAGTAATGAGAGGTGGAGATGGGGATGAGGTGGGTTCCACAAATGCTTCTATGAGGGAGAATGACAAATGCACAGTGAGATTTGTATGTATGGGGCATGACTACTGATTGGCCTGGAGAAGGCCAGTAGAAAGTGAATGGAATAAACCAGTGATGATACAAAGAACTTGACATCATGGGAAAGTGGGAGTGATGAAACTTAGATTTAGCTGGCAGCACCTGAAAGCAGAGCGATGTGAGGCCATAGCTCTTCCTTATTGAATTCACACATATGCTTGATTTGTTCCAGTCCTGGAACATAATAGATATTCCCAGATCTAATAACAACTGTACCATCAATATACTTTGATTTCAGCTTTTCTGTGTGTGTGTGTGTGTGTGTGTGTGTGTGTGTGTGTGTGTGTGTGTGTGTGTGTGTGTGTTCTTTATTTCTAGACTAAGCAGCTGTTTCCTCTCAGAGAGAAGTGGTTACGCAATTTCCTCAGTTCTCAGCTCCCAGGCCTCACGACTGAGAGAGCTGGACCTGAGTAACAACAACATACAAGATTCAGGAGTGAAGCTTCTGTCTGCTGGACTGAAAAGTCCACATTGTAAACTGGCAACTCTGAGGTCAGATTAAGGATGCTTATTTATGTCAAATGAGATAATTAACCAATTAAACTTTTAGCTAATAAAGGTCAGTTACATGCATGTTATTGTAGTGTATCATTTCTCATGATTTGTAAATGACAGTGACTTCCTGATGTGTTTAAAATCAGACAATAGCAAATCCAACCAGTCCTTGAGGAACATTAAATATTGCCAGATATAGTCACTTCTAACTATACCATCAATGCATTTTAATTTCAGTGTTGTTGTTTTGTGTTTTTATTAATTTATTTTTTTGTCTTTGTGTTGATTATTTTTCAGACTGAGTGCCTGTAACCTCTCACAGAGAAGCTGTGAAGCTCTGTCCTCAGCTCTCAGCTCCCAATCCTCTAGCCTGAGAGAGCTGGACCTGAGTGAAAACGACATAGAGGATGCAGGAGTTAAGCTTCTGTCTGTTACACTGAACAGTACACATTGTATCCTGGAAACTCTGAGGTCAGGATTCAGTCTTTGTCACTCAGCATTATTTAGAATCTGTATTGCATTACTGAATATATGTCTGAAGGTTATAGTATTAACAGGGGCCTTTTATATACCTTTGGTTCGATTGTTTTAAATTACTGTCAGTAAAGTTTTTTTATAATACTGCAATAAATCCCAAAGTCCTTTTTGTTCATGTTATGTTCTCTAATACGGACATTAAAGATACAATTAAAAATACTGTTTCAACTCAAACGCCAGGAATCCAGAAACGAGGAACTAACACTGAAACTAGAAACACAGGAAGAGACTTACACAGATAAGTGGGTACGATGCAACAAAGGGCATCGGAAAATACAGGGCTTAAATATACAATGAAGTAATGAGGGAATGGGAACATGAAATAACACAAACATCAAACCAGGAACACAAGAAACAAGGAACACTAGGGAGGCACAGAGACAAAACCTAAAAGCTGGAAAATCACAGTGATCTAAAGATAAATTAAGGAACATGAAATACGAAAGACAAAACTATGAAAACCCAACAAAATCCCAGAACACTGAATAAACAAAACTTAAACGCAGAGTCATCTGACCCTGGTAGATGACAGTAGTAACAAGGACTGTGAAGAGAGACTATATCCTTTCAGAGAATATATTTCTCCCATATTATCTTGTTTTAATTCCTGTTGAATATCACCTAGGGAACATTTTACCCTGCGCGGGATATGTTTACCGGGGCCCCGCCCTGGAGTCAGGCCCGGAGAGGGTGTCCAAGGGTGAGCGTCTGGTGGTCAGGCTTCAGTCCATGTGGCTCGACAGGCACAGCCCGAAAAGGGGACATGGGCCCACCCTCCTGTAAGCCCACCACCTGTAGGGGGCGCCATAGGGGTCGGGTGCTTTGTGTGCCTGGCGGCAGCCAGGAGCAGAGGCCCTTGCGCACTGATCCCTGGCTACCAAAACAGGCTCTGGATGTTGTAGGGCTGTCCTGGCTGACATGCCTCTACAATGTTGCGTGGAGATCAGAAGCGCTACTCCTGGACTGGCAGACCGGGGTGGTGGTCCCAATTTTTAAGAAGGGGTACTGGAGGGTGTGTTCCAACTACAGGGGGATCACAGTCCTCAGCATCCCTGGGAAAATCTATGCCAGGGTGCTTGAAAGGAGAATTCGTCCATTAGTCGAACTTTGGATACAGGAGGAACAATGCGGTTTTCGTCCTGGTCGTGGAACACTGGACAAGCTCTTTATCCTCTCAAGGATACTTTAGGGTGCATGGGAGTTTCCCCAACGAGTCTACATGTGTTTTGTGGATGTGGAGAAGGCATTCAACCGTGTCCCTCGGGGTGTTCTGTGGGAGGTGCTGCAGGAGTATGGGGTGTCTGTTCCATTGCTACAGGCCATTCGATCTCTATACAACTATTGCAAAAGCTTGGTTTGCATAGCCGGCAATAAGTCAGACCTTTTCCCGGTGGGTGGTGGGCTTGGCCAGGGCTGCCGTTTGTCACCGATTCTCCTCATAACTTTTATAGACAGGATTTCTAGGCGCAGCCAAGTGGCGGAGGGCTATCACTTAGGTGACCTCAGAATCTCATCTCTGCTTTTCGCAGATGATGTGGTTCTGTTGGCTTCATTGGGTGATGGCCTCCAGCTTAAGATGCAGATAGCCACTGTGATATTCGCCAAATGATAAGTGTTTTCCACTGTTAGATTACCACAGATACAGGACTTGAAGAAGTCACTGGAAGAAACAACATTGCATTGTGTTTTTTTCAAAGGTTTACCCGCAAAGCCTCATGATTTAAAACTCCTGCAATACACACCGATGTGGCAGAATCTGCAGCTTTCACAATCCTCTTCTTCACACTGAAGCTGTTTCAGATGTTCTTTGTAATACTGTAGAGTCTACTGCTAAACTAGAAGAGGTCACAGTTTTTTTTCAGTTGCTGTTTTAAAATCCTAACTTGAATTGAATGGATGGAATGAATGAGGGTCCAGCAAAGAGAGACCTTAAGTGAAAATCTTTTTAGATTAATTTAAATTTTTGTCTGTACAGTCTGTCAGGCTGTCTGATCACAGAGGAAGGCTGTAGTTCTCTGGCTTCAGCTCTGAGCTCCAACCCCTCCCATCTGAGAGAGCTGGACCTGAGCTACAATCATCCAGGCTCCTCAGGAATTAACGTGCTGTTGGCTGGACTTAAGGATCCACACTGGAGACTGGACACTCTGAGGTATGGAGAGAATGTCTGATAAAGGAGGAAGAGCTGGAAACATATTATGTCCTTTAATCCCTGTTTATTTCATTTAGAGTTTGCAAGGAACACTGGGGGGTGGGGGGAGGGGGGTGTACTTATGCAAGATTTATTTTATTTATTTTTATTTATTTATAAGGAACCCCTTTAGCTTCCACAATAGTGGTTGCTAGTCTTCCTGGGGCCCAAGCCATCAAATACAATCTAATAAAACTAATAAAATGTTTGTTATGCATTCGATTGATACTGGTATAGAATCAACATCTCAACCGCCTTATTCAGAACTAACTGAAGTTTGTTAAGCTCTGTCTTATTAGCTGCTTGAACAATACTCCAAATGAGACAATACTAGTGCATTAATGACATCTTTCATGTCTTGATGCATCTCAACCATCCAGGAAATCAGTCAAGTAAATCTCCAAAAGTTGATTATGTTCATCTGGACGTAGCATTTTCAGTGGGAGAAACGTTTTGTCACTCATCCAAGTGACTTCTTCAGTCTCAGCTGACTGCAGGTTTCCCCAATATTATAAACAGTACATTTGCACAATGACTGAAAGTAGCACCACTGAAAGAACAAAAATGAAGGGACTGATCACACCCACAGAAACAGCCATTTGAAACAACAATACTACAGAAGTGGAAGCTGAGCAACTATGGATAAAAGTTTCGGCCTGTCTCAGAAATGCAAAGCCCCCAGCATCCAACATCGCCATGGAGGAAAGGAAGGCACTCACTTAACTTAGTAATTACAACAACATTATCATCCTTCCAGCAACACCCCCCCAATTTTTTGCACATGTCGAGGAGCGTGTCAGGTTACATTTCACTGTGTGTTATACTTGTATAACTATGCATGTGACAAATAAAGAACCTTGAACCTTGAACCTTGAACCAGATAAGGGTAGGTGCACAGTATTGCTAAACCAGAAAGACTATAATGAGAAAACTTTGTCACTGCTCAGTGACGAAAATATTTATGAGCCCATGAAACAAGACCCAGGAAGTGGTTACAGGAAGAGGGTGATAGACTATCTGAAGCAGTTAGAACAAGATAATGCTAATGACCGGACCTCATACTACAGGCTATACTCAGGCGAATCTACACCTAGTCGCTATGGTTTACTTAAGATACATAAACAGGGTGCACCTTTAAGAACTCCGAAACCTATAACACCTCTAAGTTTCTGGCTTTGATCCTCAACTCACTGGTAGGCAGCTTTGAACACCACATCCAAAACACCCTGGATTTTGTTGAGAAGGTGAGAGATGTCATTATGGAGGCAGATGAAACCATGGTCTCGTACAATGTTACATCTCTCTTCACTTGCATCCCACTCACGGACGCGTTGGAGGTAGTTCATAAGAGATTACAGGATGACCCCAAACTCAGCAACAGTACCACTCTCAGCATCAACCAAGTGTGTTTGCTTTTGGAACTGTGTCTTCATTCCACCTACTTCACATACAAGGGTCAATTTTACAGGCAGAAAGATGGGTGTGCCATGGGTTCTGCAGTTCCACCCATCGTGGCAAATTTGTACATGGAAGAAGTGGAATAGAAGGCTTTGTGATCCTACCATGGAACACCACCAAGTCATTGGCTCAGGTATGTGGATGACACCTGGGTGAAAATCAAATCTCAGGCCGTACCACATTTTACAGATCACATTAACTCGGTGGACCAACGCATCAAATTCACCAGGGAGGATATGAAAAGTGGCAGGTTAGCCTTCTTAGACTGTGAGATTTCCATCAGTAATGGGGGACATCTAAAAGCTGATGTGTACCGTAAACCTACGCATATGGATCAGTAATTAAGGTTCGACTCTCATCATCCACTGAAGCATAAACTGGGTGTCATCAAGATGCTACAACACAGAGCGAACACCATCCTCACATACACAGCGGCTAGGGAAGCAGAAGAACGTCACATATAGAAGGCCCTGAGTAAATGTCATTATTCCAGCTGGACATTTGTTAAAGCTGGGAAGACGCCAAAAGAAAGCTCCAGCCAATCCAGGAGAGAAGGACAACCGCTGCCTAAGTGAAAACATGTAGTGATCCCATATTTGTCAGGAGTATCAGAACAGTTGAGATGCTTTTAAACTCCAAAGCACGCTGCACCAAAAATTGGTACACCCCAAGGATCGCCCCCCCCACACACGCACACACACACACAGACAAAGTAACATAGTGCACGCTGTTAAGTGCCAGGAGGATTGCCAGGATTTATACATCGGGAAAACCAAATAACCTCTGGCGAAGTGGATGACACAACACAGAAGAGCTACTTTGTCAGGCCAGAACTCCATGATTCAAAGACTATCTCTGAATCATGGAGGGGGCCTAGGGGTACATCTTTTGCCATCTTACAATGATTGCAGTCATTCCCTAACTCTATGTGAATGGTGCTCATGGCCATTGATCAGTGGCCTTTTATCAGTGGGCCTTGATCAGTGGTTATTGATCAATGGTCATGAGAATTTGCCTAATTATGATGAAGGAACTGACCTCCCAGCCGATTGTTCCTTCAGTGGTGCTAGTTTCAGTCATTATGCAAATCTACTGTTTACAAGATTGGGGAAACCTGCAGTCAGCTGAAACTGAAGAAGTCCCTTGGATGAGTGACGAAACGTTTCTCCCACTGAAAACACTACGTCCAGATGAACATAATCAACTTTTGGACACATCTTTCATGATGACGATATAGAAAGACCATTTCGTAGCCATAGCTATGTCCTGTCCCATTTTCTTAATAACAAAGGCTATGTGCTGAGACCATGAAAGGTGGTGATTTATGGTAACACCAAGTAGTTTAACCTATGTGACCTGCTCTAATACTTATCCGGATATGGAAAGATTCAGTTGTGGACTGTTGACTAAACGTGTTTTACTTCCAATTAACATAGATTTAGATTTGGATACATTTAGAATCTTGTTGTTTTTACTTCAGTAAAACATTTTTAGCAAATCTTGTTGTAATACGCTGGTCAATTAACGCTTTAAAGCCGGTCGGAGCGGGTATACTAAATCCTTGTAGAACCGGAACCGCGTAAGCTAGCGCAATAATTTTTTTTGCATATGAAACCGGAGGAGTTGTACTTACATCTTATGCCATCAGCTTGTCCTAGGTCAGGTTTCCTTCCACATATAGCTTTGCAAATATTGCATAAAAAGTGCTTGCAGGAACAAAAACATAATATTCCAGAAACGCGCTTTGCCGATCCAATCAGCTGTTTGTAACAGTTCCCACATTGAAACAGACATCAGCGCGAACGATCGCATGTCCGCCAATACCTGCCCGAAACCGGAAGTGACGTCATTTTCGCGGAAAATGTAGTTTTTTTTACTTGCAGACCTTAAAAGCCTATACTGGTGTTTTTATAAGTCATGTTTGACTTCATGCTTTTCTGAATAGTTGCTGGGATGCTTAGAACTCAAATTGCACTGCTTAAGAGTTGTCACTGGCCGAATAAAACATGGTGGAATCATTGGCATACATTAAAAGATTAGATTTACCCAAGATACATAGCAGATCATTTGTGAAAACTGAATAGAGAAGTGGACCGAGGCAGCTGCTCTGGGGTAGACCACAGTTCATGTTGCAGCCCTCTGAGAAATGACCATTAGAATAAACCTTTTGCCTTCTTCCAGACAAAAAACTTTTCATCCAGCGCAGAGCATCTGATGAAAATCCACAACATTTTAGGTTATCAATTGAAAGATCACGATTTATTAAATCAAATGCAGCACTAAAGTCCAAGAATACCATCCCAACCATTTTCCCATCATCTAGATCTTTATACCAGTTATCTGTCAAATAAATGAGAGCTGAGCTGGTGGAATGACCAGGTTTGTAAGCATGTTGAAACTTAGTGAGTCAAACAGCTGTGACATTTGTAAGGTTACTGAAGTTGCACTAGCTGGTATATAATGATGTGCTATGTCACCGCTAGCAACACAGCTATGTTAGCATAACATAAACACAGTGAAGCTGGAGGATGAACGCTAACTTTTTTTCACTCGATAAAAGTTAACGTGAGGGTTCCCGATGGTTTGGGACAAATGCAAACTTCAGTCAGAGAGCAACTTAGATAATCCATCCACAATACAAGGTTAGTCATTAATATATTGCAACAACATGGGAATAGAGCAGCTGCGAGATAATTTGACATTAATGAATCAATGGTACAGAAGTGGAGGAAGCAAGAAGATTGAGTCAAGTAAAGTTTGACTTATCTGTTTTCAATTTCTCTTCAATTTTATTTATATAGTGCCAAATCACAACAACAGTCGCCTCAAGGCACTTTATATTGTAAGGTAGACCCTACAATAATACATACAGGGAAAAAAAACAACAATCATATGACCCCCTATGAGCAAGCACTTTGGCAACAGTGGGAAGGAAAAACTGCCTTTTAACAGGAAGAAACCTCCAGCAGAACCAGGCTCAGGGAGGGGCGGCCATCTGCTGCGACTGGTTGGGTTGAGAGAAGGAAGACGGGATGAAAAACATGCTGTGGAGGAGAGCCAGAGATTAATAATACATGTGATTGAGCAGAAAGGTCTATTAATGCTGAGTGAGACAATTGACTGAAAAGGAAATACTCAATGCATCATGGGAATACCTCAGCAGTTTACACCTATTACAGCATAACTAAGGGAGGATTCAGGGTCAGTTGATCCAACCCTAACTATACGCTTTTTTTTATTAAAAAAGGAAAGTTTTAAGCCTAATCTTAAAAGTAGAGATAGTGTCTGTCTCCCGAATCCAAACTGGAAGCTGTTTCCACAGAAGAGGGGCCTGAAATCTGAAGGCTCTCCCTCCCATTCTACTCTTAAATACTCTAGGAACAACAAGTAAGCCTGCAGTGCGAGAGCAAATCACAGACTCTGTAACATTTTCAGGAGCAGAAAAACTAGTCCAGCTGGATAATAAATATATTAATAAATTTGGCATGTTTGAATTAACTATG